AAAAACAGAACAAAGCTTTGTCATTTTTGTAGCTTTTATTACCTTAAAGTTTTGGACATAAGTGTGCTGTTTAGGAAAAGTTGGCAAAACAAAGACCATTAATCCCACGTTTATCTGGCCTATCGCATCCCCCGTCAAGACTGAGGGCACCAGGAGTAATTCTTAAATTTGCAGGGGCATCTGTTTACCAGCTTTTACAAGGTCCAATTCCAACCCTTGCTCAGAAGAGTGCCTAAAAGTCCCAAACCTCAGTCACTGTTGATTCCACAAAAGCTCCCTGGAATTTTGCATCCAGGACTGAGATAATAATTATTGTTCAGATCTAGAATATCACCTAAAGGCCGCTTTTGTTCAGAGGTGGGACTTTTAAAAGGCAGTAGGATCATGATGGCACTGTACTCATCAGTGGGTTAATTCGGGGATGAGTTCAGAGCTAAGTGTGTTGGTTGGAAGACGGAGGTCAGTGGGGGCATGACCTGGAAGGCTAGGTCTCCCTCCTCACTTTCTCCCTTCTCTCTTTGCTTCCTGACTTCAATGACACGAGCTGCTTTCCTCTGCCATACTCACCATGCCCTTCCTGTTTTGAAGCCAACCAACTGCGGTTAAAAAACATGAGCCAAGATAAACCACTCTCCTTTAATAGTTTTAAGTGTCAGATATTGTGTGTCATTGATGAGAAATTTACCAAGACAATGATCAGCTCCATCCCAGCCCACCATTGCACCCCATAAATCTGGTTTCCTTGGTGGATGTGTTGGCAAAAGCCTGTAATTTCAGCACTCTGGCAGGCTGGGGTAGGAGGATTGCAAGCTTCAAGGCAACCTGGGCAACTTAATGACTTGGCGATACCCTGTCTCAAGTTAAAATATTAAACAAGACCCAGCAGTATAGCTCAGTGGTAAGGCTCTGGTTTAATCCACAACAGTACACACACACACACACACACACACACACACACACACACACAATCAATCAATCAATCACCAGTTTTGTCAAATGGCCAGTCTGATCTTTTTTCATCAGAGTGTGGCTCCTCCATCTGCTCAAGCTGGAGTCCTTTCCTTATTCTCTCTTAGTTTCCTTTGCTAAGGAACCTACGTGGTCTTTTGCAGCTCCTCAAGCTAAAATCCCTTATCAGTTCCTCTTATTTTTCAAATAAAGTTTTTTTTCTTGCAAGCTTGTGCTTTATTATTACTTTCCATTACCACTAAAGCAAGGGCCCAAACTAGCTCTTGACCCTTTTTGAGTATGAGTAACTGAATCCTGTTGCATCCTGAGGATGAGAATGGGAGGGGCAGTAGGGAAAGCCCACTCCACATACAAATGCCTTAATATTTATAACTCTTTTCTGGGAAGTATGACAAATATTTTTATCTTGAGAAACTCACCTACATTAATTTAATTTTTTTAGTAACTCAAACCACATTTAAGGGGAGAAAGTCCTTGTTTCTTTGATAGAATTAGTTTTACTACATGGAAGCTAATTCAGTGCATACAGAAACTGGAAATGTGGGAGGCTGACAAGGCTGTCTCTCTATATAAATTATAACAGCTCCCCTGTTCACCCCTATGGTACTCTCCACTCATCACCTCAAATTAGTTAATCCTCCAGCCACTACAGAGGTTTCTATTGAGTATTAATCTTGAAGTTGATGGGATTAGCAGTTCTGTGAATCATTCCTTTTGCATTACTTACCTCAACTTATCAGTGACAGATCTTTTGACATGGTGATTAAACTCTCAAGCATTCTTCCCATAGCCTCATCTTCCTTCACACCCACACTTATTCATTCTACTATTCTTACAATATTCTGTTCCATCTAAATAAGTATAAATTTCCAAAAAGGAAAATACAGTAGAAGGGGATGTTTCAAATTATATATATATATATATAATTTATCTGATTTTTATTTTGAATTTCAAGTAATTGTTTTTTGAATATATCAAAAATAATAAACTGCTTTGTTTAATAACATCAGAGAAAGAATATCCTGTAACTATCTTGATTCATTCATGTCATTTCTATCTAATTATCCACTTATAGTGATATCATGAGCCCTTACATTTTTGTTAAGAAGCCTATTGTCTTAAAAATATATCTTGAGCTAATGAAAGTTAAGGTATTAATGAGTATAAAATAATGTATTTATCAGAAGAATTACTTTCTAAAGAAAGGAATGCCTTTTTCCTTATTTTTATGACACCTTTATGTTCAAGATATTTTACTTAATTTTCAATAAATCAACACTTAAAAATTGTAAGATCACCTATAAATTCCCGATAACAGCTGCCAAGAACACCCTAGGCCTCTCTGTCTGTATTTGATAGAAAAAAATTGCAGTGAAACTTTATATCATGCAACCTGGGTTAGAACTTCCATTGATAAATTATTCAGTTTTGTAAATAATTCTATAGATCTGCTTTCTTAAATAAAAGCAAACAAATTAACAGCCATATAGCTTTGCAACTGCAACTGATGACAGTATTACTATTAATTTAATTTGAATTTGATGGAGAGAAATTTTGAAACTCAATGCCTAAGCTAATGGAATATCTGACAAAAATGATGGAACTCACTGACAAAGGCAATGTTCAGTGATTGTCAGCTTTTAAAACATTGTCTATTAATTATGTCATACTGGAGGTTAAATTAATGAATTTTTTAACCAGGAGCATGAATTTCTATATAGAACATACACTTGGAATCCTTATAGCTAATGTATAGAGTTCAAATGCTTTCTTGATTATTGTGTAGGGTAAACCACGGTCTTAAAAAATCCTAAAATATAGTGGTTTAGATGCTATTATATGAGTCTAGAAGTAGGTGACCTAAATTTAGTACATCAGCTCCACATCAATAAGCAGCTTCCATTTGGGGGTCTGAGGCTCTGCAATCACTTTCTCCTAGACAAACAGGAACAAATGGTAAAAGGGCGCCCAGTTCCAGTCCTTTAATTTTCAAGGCCTAGAAATGTCACAATTCACTTCTGCTCATGTCCCAGTGAACACTGTGCCAACCCCTGACAGCAGCTAACTCCCAGTGAAGGTGGAATTAAGTCTTTGGGAATGTGTGGGACAACTTACTCTTCTCCACAGCTGCCAACAAAAGTGCTGAATTGCATGCTAATAGCTCCCTTTTTTGATACTTCAAACTAAAGGTACAACATGGTCACTTCTACAATTACAGCAAAAGTTTTGTATTTTAATTTTTTAAAGCATCTCTATACCCTGATACAATTGTGAAAAGCATTTTTCCTTTTATGCTAACCTCTGTGTCTGATTTTGACATGGTAATATGAAAAAAGGCTTATTCTACTCATGAACTTATCATCACAGATGGTGCATACTAAGCCAGCAGAAGTGCATATAATAAAATAAATATATTATTATGTTTTATAACTTTTAGATGTTAATGTAAGTGCAGGATTTTCTAGGCATTCTTTATAACTGTAAAATATAATCAGTTTCTAGAAATCCTTCTGTGTCCTTCACATATGCTCATGACATTATACGAATATCTGATGGAATTATATTTCTTAGCCAAAACTCTTTGCCCTGCTCAGCATTATGCAATAGAACTTCCTGTTATGATGGGCATATTTGTTTCCGAGGGAACTGAGGAAACAAATTTCAAACTTTGTTTGGTTTTGGTTAACTTAAATTGGGTAGCCATGTAGCTAGTGATTCCATACAGAGCACTGGTCACTTTCTGTTCCATCATTGATTTACTTCAGCCACATCTCCTTGCTGGGTCATATTAGTCCTGAAATGGCCTCAAAGGAATTTAAATACTCAATATTTATGTGCTTAGTGTCCTAGTCTTTAGGTGAGTAAAACAGTGTGAATTTAAGCAGTTGAGTAATAATAACTGTAAGTAATATTTATCAAACATATTACATATTAGGCACCAATCTGAGCACTGAATACATAATAAATTATTTCATTATTCCAAGAAACTTAGACAGCAACAAAAGGAACTTAGACTTTAGTCATTACCATTTTATAAATGTATAAACTGACCCAACCACAATTTCATTAATCTTTGTCCAAGATCACATAGGTTGTAAGTGACTGAGCTAGGATGTAAACCCCAGGCAAACTGCTTCAAATAACAGCAGAGCCTCACTCCATTCTTTATTATTTCGTCATTCTGGAAAGTGAGTTTTCAGCAGTGGTAGTCTTTATTTGAAATGCATCACAGATGGGGCCTTCCCAGAGCATTACTGCTTTATGCATAATACAGAGAAATATATTGCCTCTGGCAAGAGAGAAGGAAAAAGAGCAGCTTCCCTTCCTTTTTTTGTCTTATCACAATTCTCTGAGGAGAACTCAGGTTTGTAAAAAGGTGATTCAAATTGTCTCCTAACATCTTTAATTTGGCAGTAGGATTTCATTTAATCAGAACGATACTTAATAAATTAGTAGACACAAGTGCCTATGAATAGGTGCTATATATTTGCTCCCATTGCTACAAAGGTTTATTCAGTTTTTTTTCTCAATACACCAACCAAAAGAATTTTAAAGCAATCAGATTTAACACAGGTTAATCATCCATAAGTTAAAATTACTTAGAAGTGTACTATCTATAATTAAGTAGCCTTACCTATTATTACAGAATAAGGATGCCTTTAGGTAACATGGAATCTATCATTTTAAGCATGCCCCTAAGCCTTTTCCAGATTGCTCATAAAATTTCTCATTCTCTAAGAAATAAATGTCTCCATCAAGTCAAAAGTAATATGAGCACAGGATGGAAAATGGAACGTTTTAGTCTTCTAAGGGATATTGCAGTATTGTAAAATTGATTTTATTCCTCATTATTTAGGTTTTCATGGTCATTTTAGGATTTGCCTTGTGGATATAAAGGGAAAGTTATGATACATTTTAGGGAGGTGGGCAACAGAGGCCTTTGGGGAGCAGGAGAATATTTTTCATATGAAATTATTTGTCATAAAATGCTAATGTTGGTGTTCTTGTCTTTATGTCTATGCATTCTTTAGCTATGAGGATAACAGACCCTTCATCAAGTAAGAATGACCTGAATGGCTGATAAATTCCATTTATCAGTGTGGTCCCATGAACCAGCTGTCAGATCAGTATTGAAGAATCATTAGAGCTTCTGTCATTCACATTGAGGCAGAAGAGCAAACTGTGCAGGAAAATACTGTGGCATACAACTTAGAAGCAGAGTAAATATACCGCAGGTGTATTGCCCCCCTAAAAATTCTGCTTCACCTCTATTAATTGGATCTCACTTGATTCAGTGCCACAGTAATAGCAGTTTCCTGTGGTACAGACTTGTTTCACATCGAATACTTTTCTCCTTACACTGTGATGTGCTCCTCTGTGCTACATATGTCCACATTTCTGTTGTTTGGGCATCATTCATCTAAAATTATTTTGTGATTTTCTAGTATATCTTTAAATTGATCTAATGGATATGAAACTACCTGATTGCAATTGATGTTAATGAGTTGCGGAATTAAAGATTTAAAAGGCAAAAGAAAAAAACTCCTTCACAATTTAATTTTACACGTGCAAAATCATCCCTTTAAATTTTGACACCTATCATTTGACTCATAACCTAATTGTTTATGAATATATTTAAGTCTGTGAACCAAAGCTACAAGTCTGTACTTGTCTAATAATTGTTAATGTGTGGTTTTTTTCCTGTAATTTAAAATTATGCGTCCTGCAAGCATAAGCTAAGATTGGCTAACTATGGGTGACCTTGCTGTAGACTTTCAGTTTGTTCTTCTGGTGAAGAGTCCTTTGTGTTCATTTTCCCCAATGCTATTTCACTTGCTTCTTCATGCTTTGCTTATTATTTTCCTTGGAAATTGGAGCTCATTGCAGGTTTAGATCATGTAACCTTTGTGCTCATCATTGTTTTCTAGTGGATAATAGTTCACTTTAGTATTTCATCCTATCATTTTATTTCTCAATTTAAATAGCAATTTTGCCTTGATTTAATGATGATTATCTCCATTTTTCCTTTTTCCAACATCTATAAGAAGCTATTTTTCTTGAATATCCTCATATTTGAGAACTCAGCAATAGAAAAAAAGACTAACATGTAAGATGTTTCCTAACTCATATTAGCAAACATGCCACATGCAGCAGCAAACCTTCTTTAATGGTTAAGAATATTGATGTTAAAGATGAAACACATCAAATTTAGCTTCCATTTAAATCTGAAATACAGTTGCTGATTGTTGTGGGAGCAAATAATAAATACCATCCATTTCAATAGGACATTGGGACCATATCTTTCTTAAGTTATAACTTTTTCTGAAAACTTTATTGAACTCAGCTTCAGATTATGGTAAACATGCAGTTCTTTTGCCCCCACTTTGCAAAGTTTTCATCCCCATAAATATTCCTTCTTTAGAGAACATAAACGGAGGACAATAGCTGACTGAAAAGAAGTATTAGCACCCTGTTCAAGGGAATTGTAGTAGGAGAGAAAGGGATGGATTTATGTGTGTGTAGACCTTTTGACTGTCTTGGTCCTGTTCTCCCATATACTTCGCAAAAAGCTAAGAAGGGTTCAATTTCAGTGATTGGAGTCCCATCTGTAAGAACAATTTGTTGTATGCTGATAGTAAGTACATAGCATTACCACAAATATATGAAACTTCTGTCATCCACTTGTTACTACTTTACATGACAGCTTGGAGAATGGAATGAGACTGAAAATTTGCCTTCCATGCTGTCCTGCGCCATTCACCCCACTCCATCCCCATTCTCAGCTTCACCCTCTCCCTTGAGTTTATGCTTCAGAGAGATGGAGATGCCCAGAGTCTTTAAGCTTCTTTTCAGCAAAGCTGCCAAATGTCTGATTTCCAAAGTCTAGCCCAACGTAAACCTAGAAGACAGTAATCCAAAGCCTGAGAAAAAGTAAAACTCAGGTGATTTTGGTAGAGGGAACTTTTTCCCTTTCACTGTATCTCATTCTTATTGCACATAGGTGGAAAGTCAGACCAAAAGAGCTTTTTAAATCCATACATATTCTGCAACTACTAGTTCCTTCTAATACAAGTTATGTTTTTGTCATACACCACTATAGTTTTTATGAAAAAAGAGGAAATTTGGAAAAATGGGATAAAAGTATATTCAGTGAGGCACAAAAAAAAGGAATCCAGGCAAACAAATGTTATAACAATGAGTCCAGTGGAGACTAACATAACTTATAGAAGATTTCCCTCTTGCTATTCACCCTAATTACATCTTCATACCATTTGCATATATGCTGCAAATACATGAATAATTTATGGCACAAATCTGCTTTTGCTTAAGTTAATTTCTGTGTTAACATTTTCATTCATGTATATTTCCTCAAGCTTGATAACCTATAGTCCCCATTAAAATCTTAAAGTATTTACACCACCTGTCTTACATTTTCTGTCAAAAAGTAACTTACTGTAATGTTTTTCCACTGTCAGTTTTGTTGACATAACATGGTGTGTTTATTAAATACCAATTATTTGATAACCTTAAATTTTCTTTTCTCTTTACAGGTCATGGGTCATAGGTGCAATAGCTCTTCTCTGCTTGTTAGGATTGACCTGGGCCTTTGGACTTATGTATATTAATGAAAGCACAGTCATCATGGCATATCTCTTCACCATTTTCAATTCTCTACAGGGAATGTTTATATTCATTTTTCATTGTGTCCTACAGAAGAAGGTAAGCTAGAATTCTATTTCCAAGAATAATTTGTGTGTTTGTTGGGGATTTGGCTCAGTGGTTCTGCCACCTGCCTCACAGGCACAAGGTCCTGAGTTCGATCCTCAGTACCAAAAAAATAAATAAAATAAAATCTTTTTTAAAAAAGAATAAATAATTTGTATTTCATGATAGCCAAGCAACTGTAACATATTCTGATATTTCATTCTTGATATGCTTGGCTATAAGAAATAAACGTTATTTTTATAATACTAAAGAAAAATAGATACAAAATGAAGGTATAATAATTTGTGTGTTTAATAAAAAGAAATGTTTTATGACTTGGACCATGCACAAAAATTATTTTCTTACTGACTTGCCCTTGAAGTCTTTTGTATATCCATGGACAGACAAATTGAATTTGTGCATTAGGAGGTGACTCTTTTCTAAAGTGGGTGCATATTATGGTATATTTCTGCTTCTTTAAAGACTAGTTTATACCACAAAGTCAAAAGTGTAAACATTCTGTGGTACAGTAATATACATTTATACTTTGAATGAATAATGGAGTTCTTAGTAATGATCTATAATTTAAACCTTTAATCTTTTGCAATAATTATGAGTTGAGTGATAAAAATTGAATTTCTAATTTTAACATTGACTCACTTTATAATTTACTACATTTACAAGGACATAAAATTATATTTTCAAGGCTATTTTTAACTAAAATAGTTATTGCATTTTTAAATAGCAAGGTTAATTTTTCATTCTTTTAACTTTTAAACTCTATTTAAATTTTAGACCCTATACCTCTGATCTATATCTGTATCTGTAGATCCATTGGCCAGATTGTGGTTGAATCTCAGTTCCTTCACTTAAAACCTTATGCCATTTGGAGCCCATTAGTTAACGTCCTCATGTCCCTATTTCCTCATATGTGACATGGAGGTGATGAACATAATTATGAAATATTAAAAGCGATGGCTTTGAAAAGAAGGTGCAAATGTAAAAAAAATTGCAGAAAAAAATAAGAACTATAGTTTTGCTTTGGAAAACAAACAATAAATAAGAATGTCTATCTCTAGGATTTGCTTGGGACCCTAAATAAAAGTGGGATCCAAACAGAAGTTGAGACAGTTGGTGTCCACTTATCAAGATGAACAAGAATAAAAGAAAATTTTATTATGTCCCAATTTTAAGTGGTTGTAGGTATTTAAAATGTGTTGTCATGTTCAAAAATACAGGAAAAAGAAGTAATGATGAATCAAGCCAATAAATGTAGATTATAGAAAAGAAAAAAGATTATAATAAAATGAATATATTGTAATCTACTGAATTATAATTTACCCTGAATGTATATTTTTAATATATATTCAAAATTACTGTAGCTCAATTCAATATATGTTATATTTCAATAATTTCCCAGTGATGAAGATACCCTTTGGAGGGACACAAACTGATGAAGGTTCAACCAATCTCAATATAGTAAAACTTTGGTTTGTAAGCATAATTTGTTCCAGAAACATGCTTATAATTCAAAGCACTTGTATCAAAAGCTAATTTCCCCAAAAGAAATAATGGAAACTCAGATGACTCATTCCACAACTCAAAAATATTCATGTAAAAATGATTATGATACTGTAATATAATAGAAAATAATAAAATACAAAATATAAAGAAAAATGAACAAATTAACCTGCAATTACTTTTGAAATCTTTTGTGGCTGTTGTGAAGGAGACAAGAGAGAGGAGGGTTATTGTGTAGGACACCTTTCACTATCATTAATGGAATCACTGCTCTCTATTGGCTCAATGGAATCTTTGTGTGTGCGCAACTTTAACAAGGAACCTATCCAATGACACTTGTTTTTGCCTCCTTTTAAGGATTTTACAAAAACGTAACATTGGATTGTTGTTAAACAGATTCATTGCTCACACTGCTACAGCTTTATTTGGGCGGTGGTTTTCTACAAAATTTTTCACTGTTTCTCACATTTTATACATCTCCCTAATCTTATTTGAAGTGCAGGATTCCTCTGCCTTTTTCGCCTCTTCTTTTACCGATGAGATCTCCCCCATAACCTTTTGCTGTTGAGAGATGATCACCCACAATCCTGCAGCGAGGGATTGGTTGGGGGGAAACCATAGGCTCAATTGTGATCATGTGACTGTCCACATCACTCACGTATTACTCATATTGCAAGACATCGTTTATCAAATTAAAATTTATTAGAAATTCTTGTTCATCTTACAGAATACTTGCAGAATAAGTTACTCACAATCCAAAGTTTTACTGTATATGATTTCATAGTCATCCTGGGTGTTGGCATACAGCAAACAGTCTGAGAGAGAGAGAGAGAAAGAGAGAGAGAGAGAGAGAGAGAGAGAGAGAGAGAGAGAGAGAGAGAGATCCTGTGGAAGTAATCTGAAAGTGACTGATATTACTTCTACTTACATTCCTTGAGGTAGGACGGATGGGACTGACTAAACTCAAGTGAGACTAGAAGACTCTTTTCCACCCAGAAAGAGGAGAAATGGGATTGGTCAACAGTCCACCATACTAGATGAGTTTACATAGAGGGAAGCATCTAACTGATGAATAAAAATAAAGATGGAATGAAAGAAGCATCAGAGGAGAGTGAAAATCAAGACAATATCCTGCATTAAAAGTAGGGAGAAACCGGAAATCATGGTTAGCATTGTTAAAGACTTCCAAAAAATCATACTAAATACTTGGGAAAGATGTCTAGATTTGGATAAAAGAAGTCTATAACTGGCCCTCAGGAGAATTATAATCAGAAAGGTGGAAGTGGAATCAAGAGGCTAAGGGGAAAGTGACATTTATCCATGAGAATAAGAGGGACTGGACCGTGGTAGTCAGTCAGAAGATCTGAAAGTGTAGTGTCTTGCATTTCACTCTTGTCTTTATTTTACACATCAACTGAAAATTTGAACTAATTTGAATTTTATATTTTAAAGTAAAAATAGCAGTTGTTCATGAAGCAGAAAAGATATGTTTGTACTTAATATGTAGATTAATTTGGTTGTAATTTTTGTTATTTAATACATATTGTAGTTTTTCTAATTACTGCTTTTAGTTTTTTATCTTACATAAAGACATCATTAGGATATCTAAGAATTGCATTTGATATTCACATAGAGATTTTACCATGCAGGACAAATAAATAAAGACTCAACATAAAGACTTTGCAGTATAGTTAACATATTTAATATAAGTCAAATTAATACATATATATACACGCAAATGATTACATTTAAAATAAGTACATATGCCGCATAACTGGTACTGCCTCTTATCTCACAAATGTGAAATACTGATTGTCTTAGTCCATTTTCTGTTGGCATAACTGAATACCACAAAGTAACATATAAAGAATTCATGTATTTAGCTAATTCTTCTAGAGGTGTGTGAGTCCGATATCAAGGTGCTGGCATTGGCTAAAGGTCTCCTTGTTGTTTTATAACATGAAAAAGATCATTGCATGGTGAGAGAGCAAGCAGCTATCTCAGGTCACTCTTCTGTTTCAAACCCACTAAAATCAGAAGCCCAACCTCAGGACCTCACGTATTTCTGATTATCGCCTGAAGACCCCACTTGCTCCACCACTAACCATGAATTTGGGTATTAAGTTTCAGACACATTAACTTTGAGGGCATCCATTCAAACCATTAATATTGACTTTTTAAGACCTTCATGAAAAAATTTGCTACATTTTGATTTAGAAACTTACTTTTGTGTAAGTTATTTATAATAACAAGTAAGAAGCAAATTGTTCTTTCATCTTCTCCTTCTTTTGAAATTTTTAAATTTTGGAGACATTTTTATTTGATATGAAGAACATGGCCCAACATCAGGAAATATAAAAAATAAAAAATTGTTACTTGCTTTTTTTTTCCAACTAAATACACCAAATACTTGTCTTTGTAGCTACAGAAATAGTCTTAGGAGATTTTTAAAAAGCCATCTGAATGTATTTATTAATGTGCTTTTGCTAATGTGCTGCTCAAATATTGTGATTCAAGAAATAGGAAATATTACAGAGCTAGTTTTATAGGGTCATTTGTTGATTGAACTCATCAACAAAAATTAAATGTTTTGAGTTGTCAGTCCTTTTCTGAGTATGGATTACATGGTATCTCAACAGTAATTCCACTAGTTAATTAAATAGTTATTTTGCTTTTGTTATACACTCAGTTATTTGATATACTCTCAGAACTTCCAAGACTTTCTTATTCCTGAGTTCAAAATATGAAAGAAATGTTTGATTTGTAAGATATATTCTCTTTCTTGTCTTCTATATTCTAGAACAACATCACACTGATATCATTATCTATTTGGGGTAATGAAAATGGAGTATCATGTGAAATAGATTAGATTATGTAAATGCTTGAACAATCAAAGAACGTTTTTATTGTAATCTAAGGAAAAGTGTTTCATGGATACAGTCCATGTTGTTTTTCTTCCTTGTTTTTAAGACATATGCTTACTATTTCAAATCACAAAACAGCAAAGTAAAGTCAGTACAAGGATTCAGATTATAATGTAGTTAATGTCAGGCTTGGCATCACCAGATTTCTTCATTTACTGGTTGTTTATAAAATCAGTTTAGAACATTCAATCGTTGCTGGAAAATGCAAATAACCTGTGCTGAATTCCTGTGACTTATCCAATATTACTTCTTCTGTGACAGTAAGAGAAGTGGTTCTTCTGCTTTTTCCCTTTTCTCTTTCACTCTTCCTTTAAAACATTTGTTTAGATTTAAATTACTTCATTAAAAAAGCACTCATCTAGAAAGAAAAATGTTATATGCTGAGTACAGTAGCCAAAACAAGGTCAGATGAGAGGCAAAGGCTATGGTCAAAGTTTAGGATTTTGGGGATGCTTCATGATTTCAGTACAAATTTCTGACCTGCGGTCAGTACTGCTTACCATGGTTTAGAGAAAATGGTAAGTCTTCCAAAATTCTAATTAAAGCACTTACCCTATTCTTTCTAGCTACAGAGAGGGAGATAATACAGTCAATTAGTGATAATAGAAGTAACATATACTGCCTATGTTGGTCGTAATGCAGAAAAGTGGCATCTTAGGCACTTTCTCATCAATAGTACCTTGGAGATGTGGACTTTTTCCACAAAAAGCACATTGTTTAACCCCTTCATGCTTGCAGTTTGCTTTCGCTGCTTCACCATCTCTGTGCCTTTCTCTGTAAAACAAAAGTAATGACTATATCCCATAATTATTTTGAGGAAGTTACCTTGCACAATTTTACGCAAAAATATGATTTAAAACTGAGAAGTTTCTTACTTGCACCCTATCTGCTCACACTTCTTAGAAACACAGATGAGAACAGATATTTCTTTTTATATTAAAAAACAGACTGACTTGTAAACACTAAGACTAATTATCTCTGTTGATAAATGTATGTATTGTTAATAAATGTAACACAGAGATTGGTGCAAAACAGACTGTTAAAGTGGTAAATATATTACTTAAAAAAAAACAACTTCAGGGCAGAGATGGCCTTAAGGCTAAGACATCAGGGCCCTGTTTTGCTCACACTGTTTTCTCCACACAGAAGAGCTTTTTCTTACTTGTCTCTTTCCCTTTTTCCCCCATCTTCACCACCTAAATGACTAATTCCAACCTCTTTTGAAGATTCTTTCAGAAGCCTTCCCCACTAAAAAGCCTTGCTCTGTGACCAGCTGCAGCAGGCGATCCTTTCCATGAGTCCATTCACTGTCCTTTCCCCATCACTGTCCTTAGCACACTGTGAGCATCTGAGAAATGCGAGGCCCTCCGGCAAATCTGAACACACTCTCTTTGATTGTGCTGCTTCTTTGAAGGAGTAAACTGTACAGTAATAAGATATAATATTTCCATTTTAATGTACCATTTACACTCCCAATTTTAAAATGTTGATTCTAAATAGCATTCCTTTAAAAAGCACATTTTCATAACTTTATTTTAAATGAAATCACATTGCAATAATACATTTCCATAAATTGTGGGAATTATGATCTCATGCGAAATTATAGATAGACATCTAAGGAAAATGCAGTGTCATTTCATCATGTGAGTTTTTGAACATCTAGAGAACATGATAAGATTCTCCCTTTTTATTATACTGTAGGACAGTTAGTGTTCATTTTTATGAGCCTTGTGCAATTAAATGTAGAGTAACAAAATTTTTAAACCTGATAAAAGCCCCCTGCATTGATATTGATATATTTATTTGCTTGAGAAAATCAGTTAAAAATGTTCATTGCTTTTTTATCTATAATCGTATGCCTATACCTGGATTAAGAATTTAATTTGCAATGTTATGAAGAAAAGCAGTTATGTTTCTCTGTCCTTATGGAGTAGGACTGTTTTGTGAAAATATCTTAATATATTTTGAATTTTTAATTCTAAATTTGCTAATTTAACCTCTTTTAAGAGAACAGATCAAAGAAACATAGATTTAAAAGAAATACCCCAACAAATTCCCTTTTTCAGTTCTTAAACATTTTCTCATCTCACTTCCTTTTGCCTTCCTTTCTTCCCTTTTCCCATTCTGCTTCTCTTTACTTTCTAATTAGATTTCTGCCTGAAGAACAATAATGGCAATACCTTTGTACTAATAGGTCATGTATATCAAATTTATGAAAGTAAAAACAGTGTCTTGAAAAGGTTTCAGTATATGCTCCTTGAACTAAAAGATAATACCACGTTAATGTTATTAGAAGTGTGTGTTTATGTATGTGACTGTTTTTAAAGGCTGTATATATGCAAAATTCCAAGCTTGATACTATAAATATAATTATGTTATATTGCAAAATATATGCTACAAGTCTTTTATCTGTAGGGCAAGGAATTAATTGTATTGTTAACCACTAAAATTCACCTACTTTTTACCTTAGTCCCTAGCAGAAATGAGTAACCTGCTAAGAGAAGTTAATTTTTCATTGGCTAGGTACGGAAGGAGTATGGGAAATGCCTGCGTACGCATTGCTGTAGTGGCAAAAGTACAGAGAGTTCCATTGGCTCAGGGAAAACATCTGGTTCTCGAACTCCTGGACGCTATTCTACAGGCTCCCAGGTAAAACACATCTGTTTAAATATCTCTTACTCATAGTCTGTTCTATATTGCTGTTCTTTCTGATCAGTGCTATTTTCTATCCTAACTGTTTAGCATATCCAGAATGTAGTAATTACTTTAGTGTGATTGGTATGGGAAGGATTCCGACAGAAATCGAAAGAACCAAAATTGAAATAAAATTATGAAATTTAAAGCCTGTTTGCATGATAATGATATCAGATTGTTTCTAGTTGAATGAGTATAACAGGTGAAGAAAGGAATTTGTTACTTGATGCAAAATTCAAAGAAAGCAATATTTTATGTAGATGATTCTTGAATTAGTTCTTTCACCAGTATAATTATCTATCATTTACCAAAACTTTACATATAAAATAATATATTCAGTAAGAAACAGTTATAATTCATACCATATTATGTTCAGACTAGTTGAAGAACAACATTACAATACCACCACCTTCCTGTAGTCCAAGTGCTACTCTCATGAGTCCAGTGCTGGACATAGCTCTGTAGTCCCTCGCCAGGGAAATTTTAAACTTCTAGGTAAACCGCCCGCCATTTTTCCAGACCACAGTGTCCTTACATGGACATCTCAGAAACTCTAGGATGCTAAAGAAGCCAGTCAAATAAAATACATAAGATCATGAATAAAGGTTCTGAACAGGTTTGGGTTCAGACTTGTAGTCTGATCTTCTTAAAATTAAATGTTTCAATAGGAAAAAGTCAATATTTTCAGTGTTGTCAATTTAATTCTTCTGAGGAAGGCAAGATTGTACTAATAAGTTATAAATCAAAAACTAATTTACTTAATTCTTTTAACTCAAACTATAAATATACTTCTTTTATAAATATCATTATTGTAGATAAAATGAGAATTGTTACTTCATTTGTCCTCTGATGTATGTTCAGTTAGTTTATAAGAATAACATTAAATTTCCTTAAACAATTCCATTCATATGTTTAGGAAATAAATTTCCTTGTTCCCCTTAAAAATAATTTACCAAATAAATACACATAATTACCTCAGACTCATCTACTGTGCAACTAGTCAGTCACACACACCTAACTAGTACGGGGACAACTCTTATAAGTTAAAGATAACATTTTCATAAACATTTTCTTTAAACATAATGGAACTCTCCTTTATTTTACAAAGAGAACCACATAGCTAACCTCAATCTATTTTCAACCAAAATTTTAACAACTAACACGTAACTGTCAACTGCCACATAAGATGTCAAACAGCTGAAGTAACTTAGCAACCACAAATCATGAAATTCATCCCTAAATATAATGTGCAATTTTGAACAATTTGAGTTGGATTTATGATGAAGTTCCATGGTAGCAATTTAGTGGGAGCACATATACCACTCAGATGAGCAGAGATTCTGAGTACAGAACTATGCCAATTAAAAATTTAAATTTGCACATAAGAATGGGAGCACATCAGAATGATTCTTTAGAGAAAAGTCCTTCTTATAACCATATTATCAACTGGTGATCTTCTGCTTCCACTTACTCACACTTGTGATAACCTTTTCAACAACTTTTAAATCAAAATTGCCGAGATTCCTCGCATGATCCAGCCTGATTAGACCTTGCCTGCACATTACTGAACTCATTAGCCACCATCCTATCCTCATTTTAATGATTAAATATCATTCGTGAAAAACTGGTATTTGGGACTTTCGGTTATTAGGTTATAGCAGAGTTGCATAATGTGGCAATACTTCTCAAATACGAAATACAACAGTGAAGCTTAATAAAATACCGGTAAAACTTCATGGCGGATGCACCTCAACTTGAACCCTGTCTTTAATATGTCACAGCTGTGACACAGTATGTGGTTCTAATCTCATTGCCTCTTTTTTGTTTTCATTTGTAAAACAGTAGTAAAAATACTAATTTCAAGTACGCAAAACATTTAAAACAAATTATCAGTACTCAATAAATTACAGCTACTACCATTTATTAGTGTCATTATAGAATATAATTTTATATATATATATATATTTTCAAGCTGCACCACATATTTTCTTTACCTTTGTAGTTTATAAAATCACAATTCCACTCTTGGCAATAAACTTATAATACTAATACTGATACAATATAATACTAATTCTGATTAAATATGACAATATAACCCTATAGAAAGGATAGTTAACTCTTGCTAATTTAGGTTAAACTAATGAATATATTTCATATTAATTGTGACCTTTCATAATCAAATGCTAAAATATTCACTTATTAAGGTGCAATTTGGGGAATATGGATGCATTCTTAACATCAAAAAAACTTCTAAAATTGAAATTTCTATGCAGCTTGTTTTATTTAGATAGATTTAGTGCTTCCTATAAAATGCCAGCAATCTTGAAAGTTCTGAAAATAAAGTGGTTAAGGGAGATAACTTACAGTTTGGAGCATTCATTCTAGTACCGGGAAACAAAACTTACTAACAAACAAACCAAGAAAAATATAAGATTATGAAACCTGATGGAAAAGCAAAATATGATGACATGAAAGTATCCAGGTGACTGCTTGGAACAATTTCTGGGAAAGACTGCCTTTGCAGGTGATATTTATGCCAATTCCTGAATGACAATGTTCTAAATGAGAGAAAGAAAAAGCAAATAAGGAGAAGATAGTTCCAGGTGGGAGAACAGTGAGTGGAAAGTGCTTCAGGTAGGGGAGAACTTGCAAATTCAAAGATAGAAAGAATTTCATTAACCAAAGGAAAAATTAGATTAATGACATTAAGAGAGAGAATGGAAGAGGAAGTTAAAGGAAAAGGCAAGATATAGATCTCTAAGTATTTTTAAGAGTATGTGAATTGAGATTTGATTTTGATTACTTTTTAAAGTCAGTGGGATGACTCGGAAAAGGAAGTGACTGGGAGTCACGCACAGCTAGAAAAGACCATGCAGCAAATATGTAGCCATTGGAGGGACAGAATTGACAAGACAAAAATGCGGAAATCATCTCCGCTTGAACTTAACTTCCTGGTACTAATCACTTATAAATTATTGATAGTGTACAAAATCATGCAAACAGAATTGTGTATAAAGCTCTCTCTCTCTCTCTCTCTCTCTCTCTCTCTCTATATATATATATATATGGATATATATATATATATGGACTGAAAGATTGTCCTTCCCATTTTGAGCAACCTATAATTGGCCTGTCATTTTTCTTTCATTTACTTTATTGACTTTTTACATTTATTTTTATTACACAATACTTGAAAAAATAAAAGAATGTATGTAAATAAATGAATTTGTGACGGATAGTAATATAATAAATATATGTGAACACAATATCCAATTTAGAGGATTTTAAATTTTTCTCTTCATTTAACCTTTCCCTAATCAATCTGTTTATAGTTCTGCCCAACAAAATATCTTAAATTTTGTTTTATCATTGTCTTCATTTATTCTCATCATGTCTCCCTCTCTAAAAATGTTGTTTATAATCTTTTCATAGCTTTTTTTTTGTTTTTTAGTCTTTTTTTTCATATGTGTATGTTATTTATGTACTGACCTAGGAAAAATGTGAAACCTAACAATACTTCTGAATACTTTTAAACTCTTTTTAAGGTTCATATAACCAATTATCTAATATTTTTAAGACTGGTTGCTCCTACTATTCAAGAAATTTAAATATACTTGAGATATAATGCATTTTGAGAATTTAGTTTTACTGTTAGTAATAATTTTTCTTGTTAATTATTTCATCCTGAAAAAGCTTCTTAAAATGTTTTGTTTTTGCTGAGATTAATATTGTTGCTCCCTAACTCAATAAAACGGTAAAATACAATAAAACAGAAAAAAAAATTCCCCAAATGATAAAATACTACACTGTATTTATGAATTAACTAGCGCTTAGAATTTTGAATTTAAGAATATAATAATGGAAGGATTTTCAGTCACCTCTAAACTTCTATTATAAAGCAGTGATTAGAGGTTAATAGATTACCTTTATCTTCTTCAAAAAAGGAAAATAGAACCAGGCTTGGTGGCACCTGCCTGTAATCCCAGCACTTGGGTGGCTAAGGCAAAAGGACCACAGAGAGTTCGGGGCCAGCCTGGGATACAGAATGGGGTCAAGTGTAACAAGATCTTCTCTCTTAGAAAAAACTAAAGCTACAAAATCTCTAAAATTATATTGGTCTTCTTATGAAAGTTATTGAAAATATAAGTTCAGCAGCATTTCACTAATAATCTATGTTCTTCTCTTACAAAACTCCAGATGCTCAAACTAAATATTTTCTTAATAAAATCTACAATTTAATGCATATTTAAGCATTCTCGTGCCAAGAAAAGTCACAATGAAAATCATTTGTTTCACCTTGGAAACTAAAATTTTATGATGCCCTGTAATGCACACACCTACACATCTTTAACATATTTAAATTGGTGTTGTACTTTGCATTTATTCCTTTTTCATAATTGTAATTGTCTTTGTTGTAGGTATGTAGGAATCTACCTAATGGGAACCAAGAATGATCATTACTTTTCTTTCTTTTTTTTTTTTTGGTACCCGGGATTGAACTCGGGTCCTTGCACTTGCAAGGCAGGCGATGGAATCACTGAGCTAAATCCCCAGCCCATTAATTTTATTTCTAATGTCTTCATTCAACTGTAGTGCCAGCATGGTGATAGAAAAGGTCTTGTACAATGATGACAGAAAGAAAATGAATGATTTTTGTAGAATTCACTGCTTCATGAATTCTTTCCTTTCCTTCCTTTTCCTCTCCCCAGAGCCGAATTCGTAGAATGTGGAATGACACAGTCAGAAAACAGTCAGAGTCATCCTTCATTACTGGAGATATAAACAGTTCAGCATCACTCAACAGAGGTAATTACAAATGAGGTCTCCTATTGATTATTTTTCTGATTATTTTTAGAAGTTCTTAATGTCTCAGTTTATTTGCAAGTGTTAAACCTTGTTCTGTATGATAGGATTGTTGCAAGGATATAAAACCTGATCGAGTGAGTAGTGAGTCTGAGTTTAATTATTTGTGTCTTTTCTTTTTTAATTTTGAATTTTCAGCAAATATTTTCTGAAAGGAAGTTAGGAAATGAAAAACTTCTTTTTCTAGTCATCTTCCAGTGGTATAAATTGGTGAGCAGTCAGGCCTCATTGGAAGAAGTGAAAATGGGCAATTATGTGGTCATATAGTTGGCTAAGCATCACAGAGTCCCACATTGTCATAGATAGAAAGCACTCTGGTAGCATTTTTGGAAGTAAAAATATACATATTTTCTAATGACACATATGTAAGGGGAAAAATCACATCTGCTCTCAATATCTAAAAGAATTATCCAGACAATATTGTATATTTAAAGATCTACCAAAAAAAACACTCGTGTGTGTGTGTGTGTGTGTGTTTGTGTGTGCATTTGCATGCATGTGTGCTTCTGGACATTATTTAGTTACAGTGCTCCCTGGACATTATCTAGTTTTTTGAAATGAAATTCTCTTAATCTTTTGTTTTGACTACTGTTTGTTTTGTGGGAGGGAAAAGGGAGGAAGGGAGAGAGGAAGAGAAGGAGGAAGAGAAGGAGGGAGAGAGTGGGGAATCATACATCAATAAAAATGTAGATCTTGTTAGATACAACATTTGTGAAGTCAGTATTTGGAAATAAAGTTATTTAGAATATAGTTTTATCTGGGAAGTTGGCATTTGTATGAATTTAGATATTTTTAAGATCAACATTGTTATTTTTTTCTTCTAAACTACAAGTATTAATCTCCTTTTGAGCTTTTTCTGACATCTTTTTGTTACACCACACCCAAAACTATTTAGATACAAATAATGTAATAATTGTGGCTGATGATTAAGAAAGGTTCAGGTCCTGGTACTGTTACTCATTTTTACTCAACTCCATTGAATTTTATTTTATAGTTTAGAACCAAAGATACAGACTGAATTTGATACAGGTATCTACACTTTACTGTAATCTTACTGAGTTTTATATATCACTTAAAGTAATGATATACCAACTAAACTAGTGATGATTTTAAATTACCTACCTTTCTAGATGTGGTGCTGCACACTTGTAATCCTCTGCTACTTGAAAGGCTGAGGCAGGAGAATCACAGATTTGAGGCCAGTATAAGCAGTTTAGCAATACTGTGTCCCCCAGTAAAATGAGAAAAGCAGTGGGGATGTAGTTGAGCACTCCATGGGTTCAATCCCTGGTAAAGCAAAAATAAATCAATAAATTTCCTACTTCATTTTAGGTTTAAGAACAGTAACGAAGGGGAATATTCCTCTAAATATGAGGAAAATACATTAAAATAAAATAATTACCTTCTTATTTTCTGTCATTATTAGTTTGTTATTATTAGATTGTTCCTTTAGACAAACTATTTCAAGTATTCTTTTTCAATTTAATTTTAATATTTAGTTTGTAAAAGTTTTATAAGTGTTAGACATCCAGCTTTTTAATTTTACTCCTCAAATCCTGGAAAGCTAATTGCTCACATGTGCCTCAATAGCCTCAGTAGCCTCAATTTGCTTCCAGAGTAACTAATTTTCTTTTTCTGTTTTCCTTATTAGAAGTATCTTAAACTTAATGATGACACCAGCCATTCACTAGTGGTTTAAACAAAGGATGTGATAATATGATTTTAACAATGTACTATTTATTTGCCTATGATGAGAATGGATACAATATGTAAAATTATTATTTTGTCTAGTATTGTTATCAACCTTTATACAATGAGAGTAGGTTACATAACTTTAGTAAAATCTGCTTTAGATATATATTTTCTTAGGACTTCAAACTCAAGCAAATTATCGGACGTTGCTATTTAGTTCTTTCCCTTTAATTCCTTCTCAAGAATTTAATCAACTTTGAGTATAGTGATATGTGAATGAATGGGTCAATCTGAAATAAATTTAAAGAAAACAGTAGTATTTCTTATTGAAATATTAATCATATGTTTAAGTCTGTCTATTAAGATGTCTAGTTTTAAAAGATGTTTCTTAAAGCTATTAAACAAAGGGTGTGATAGTTCTTGTGACAACAAGTGATCTTAATGACATTGGGAAGGGGTTAAATTGGATGTATAATTTCAAGTGAATCAAGGCGGTGATTTCTGTTATCAGGATAAGGGTTCTTCCTTTCACTTAGTGGCTCTAATAGTGCTGGAAATCACAGTGACCTTCCTCATTTTCTGTATGAATTTCCTAGCCCCACCCAAGGTCAGAAACTCCTTGTTTTATTCTCATCTTACTATTTTTTATCTTAGATATTGGCTTGCATTAAAGTTTTATTTCTTCATATTATATCTCTGAAGATAGTCTTTAACCTCCTTCTTTAATCTTATTTCCCAGGGTCCTATCTTCCCTGCATTCAGGCGTGTGTATCATATTTAGGTAGGTGACATCCAAGATTATCTCTCCAGATAAACACCTAAGTCACCTCAGCAGCATAATTAGTTCTGCTCATTCAAAAGATTATATTCTCTGTTATTAAAAATGAAAATCCTAGGCATCTACATCTTTGCATCTTCATATATCCTAACTTCCCATACATTCTTACAGTTAGCATTTTTTTAAATTCAAACTCCATTTTCTTTCTAAATTAGATATTTTAAATCTCTTATTTTGTCTTTAAAATAGTCCTGGCTTTTGAAAACTACAAGCTATTGTAGTAAAAATTTGTTCTTTTTAATTTATGTTTTCTTTCTTATTAATACTATTACCCAACACATCGTAAGAGCATTATTTTATATTTTGTATGTCTTGTCATTTATTCTTCCAAATAAGAATCAATCATTATTATCCTTAGGATCCATTGAGAATAAAGAATCTACCATGCCATGCAGAAGTACTCCTCACTTTTTTTAAAGATCATCTCTGATGTTCTGTTCTTAAACCAAATTGTTTGCATCATACATATCAGCTTACCTTTTAGATTTCCCATTATGATAAACTTGATTGCTATTGGGATTTTATTTCTGCAATCATATGAAACCTTGGAAGATTTGTTGATAATTTTCAGTAAGTACACTAATTCTTATATTTCTCTTTGAGGGTTTGTTGTTTGGTCACTTCATCTCTTTAAAACCTTCCATTAAATTTGTACTTTGCGTATCTGTACTTATGAAGATGTTTCCCCGAATGTTCCCTTAACCTTTACAAATATATTTTTCCTGCCTACCTGTTTGGTATAATGTCACACACTCAGGCCAATCCAGAATTCCTCGAAGTCAGCGCTAGGTACTACCATTGAACAACGTGATACCACTAGTATATCCACAGGAAGAAGGGACTTTAGAAGAGATGTAAGATGATAGCTGAATACAGACAGTTTAAACAAAAGTTAACTCCAAATCAAACCCAAGTTTTCATGAGCTTGTAAGTCTGCAGGAGGGTTTATTAATTAATTTAAATATTTACTATATTGAACAGGCTTTAAAGGTTCAGTCAGTTCAACCTCTAGCTCTTTCCCACCCATGTCTCCTCCCCATAGTCTCTCCTGGCCAAATCTGACCTTGAACAATTAAGATTAACAATGCTTCTTAAAATGCTTGACTTTGAGCCAATAATGAAGCATTTTCTGAGAAATTTCTCTGGAAGTTCAGTTAAGTAAACACCTCCAATATTTTTTAAATCTTTATTGAAATTAGATTTTAGTAGGCTTTATTTTATCACAAATATCATAGATGGATTTCTCATTTTCTTTTTATTTAATTAGTTATGGCAAGGTAAGAACTTTTTGTTTATCAAGTTTTTCGAGGCAGCTCCTACCAACATGGTATCCTTACGTAAATTACAAAAAGGTGTTTTAACAAAACATGCTCTCTCTGAGTGGTAACATTAGTTTACAAAAAACTTATTCTGCAACAGTGGCTTGGCTAGCATCATGGATTTTTATTTCCATCTGATCTCCCATCATCTGTTCTGTCAACCTGCCACACAAGTTAATGCAATCTAAATTTTTATGTATAGAGATCTGACCAGGAGGGCTATGTTTATTTAAGCTTATTTAGATGTTATATGTCAGAAGACTGATGTGTAATATTTATTTATTAAAGCTGATGGAATCATTTTTCAGGATTCAGATTTGAATCGATCTGTACACATATGCACAGTACATTTTATGTAGTCAAAAGTATGAAGACTTATGGTGATGTATTTATTTTCATAATTTTTAAGGGTAAATTTTGGCTGTCAGCTAGTGGCACCATTACCTACTGAAAAGTGACCTTACCTTTAGAAGCACTGTTCTTAAAAAAAGGGATGATTTTATCATCCAATACACATTTGCAAATTACCGACTTACTCATTGTAGTTTTGAATAGTAATTTTAAGAATAAGCACTGAATTTTAATTCAGTGATTTTTGGCAAACTGGTGAGCTTCTCCGGGCCTGTGCAATAGAGGTATAAATGCTACCCACTTCAGAAGATCCTTGATAGGAATAAATCATACATGCAAATTGCTTATACCAGTGCCAAGAATATAATAAAACTATTATTATTTTATCCAAAGGTTCACTTACATTTTCTAATAAATGAAAACTAGTCATTGCCAGTGCTTTCAAATAGTGAATTTAAAAACTTCACCATTTACTACCAAAGATTTTCATTCCATGTTACTTTCCAGAAAGAGGTCAGAGAGAGAGGTGGCTACCTGAATGCAAGTAAAACAAATAATAATTTTCCTAAAATGATGATACCCTAGAGGATAATAAAAATAATAAACTAATAAAATGGAATTGTTTCTTCTGAATTAGAAAATAAATGTGAAGTATATCTGCTTCTTTGTACTTTTTACTTTTTATTTGTAAATATTTTAACATCAAAGAAATAAGCTCATACATTTCTTTTTCCCTTCCTTAG